GGCAAAGACCGACAAAATGGTTTTGGGCGCGCAGCTGCAACCACGTAGCTGCGTGTTCACAGGCTGTCCAAACGAGCGAACATTTTGTTCGTTGCATGTTACATGGCGCAGAGCTCTGGTCTGTTGCTGCCTTAGAAAGCTAGCGACTAGCTAGAGTAAACACATCGGTTTGCGCGTTGAAAGCCTTAAAGAATTTTGTGAAACTGCGGAAGTCTAATATCAGAAAATATTTGGATATAGTAAAACGAGCTGGTTAGCTTTTTTGCCAACTGTTGAACGAATTTTTAAAATATATGATCCTTTGAAATCCTACTTTCTATCACAGGATAAATGTCCTAGAATTTTGGAAGAGTTTTTTGAAAGAGAATCTTCAAAAATTTGGTTAAAGTTTATACACAATCAAGCAGTTGTTTTTCAAAATGCTGTAAAATTTATTGAAGGTGACAAAATTTCGGTAATCGAAGTAGCAAACAAAATTTAAAATTTTAGCATCAAGAGCAGTTTAAAAATTCTTGCAAAAAATTTCATGACATTTTAAAAAACAACAGCAATCTACTAAAAAAAATTCACTCACCTAAAAGAATAAAGACTTTTTGAAGATTTATAATAGTATATATATATATATTATTTATTTATTTATTTTATTTGTAAATTTAACATATGTTGAAATTTAAATAAATATAATACAATGCAATTTTTGTGTTCTTTGATGACAAAATTTTGTTGACCTAGAAGAATTTTTTTCAACAAGACAGCCACTACCCCCGCCAATTTTGTTCCGCTTCACCAATGTTAATATATGGTCACCTAATTTATACTGTATGATATGTATGTATGTGTGTATTTGTGGCAGGACCGAAAACGAAATTCGGTTCTAGCTTGGTATTAAAAACTGGCCTTTTAAAAAAATTCTCGTTCAATTAAAAGCAAAGATAATGTTAAGTAATTAGTTTAATTTGAATGAAATTTTATAATTGTTTATTACTATCTTCTATTAATATTATGCTTAAAATTTTTATATAAAAGACATTTCTAACTGGTTTCTAAAATTATTCATTTTCTGTTTAATTAACTTCAGCACCGTGTTAACTGAGCTCTCTGGCATTTTCTAGAATCGCCAGATGGCCAGTCAGATCCTGTATTTACAGTAGAGCATCAATTATCCGATCCCTGATCAACCGTCACATCGGTTAACCCACCGCGTTCTAGTCGGCAAATTCAAATGTCCGCTAGTGATGTGGCGCAACAATATTTGGCTATGTCTTGGCTACTTTAATATTATTTTTACGTGTTTTAGNCATTTCGCAATAACTCATCGTTTTCAATCTGCTGACCAACCAAACTTTGTGAAAACCATGCAACAGCGTCTAACGGAGCTTTGGAGCAGAGATCTCCATCATGGCTCCGGTTCCGGCTCCAACCAAATATTTACAGTAATTTTTAAGCGCAATCGTTAGAGATAGGAGTACATCACTTATCTCTAAAACTATCTTATTTAGATAATTTATTTATAATCTATGTCTATCACTTTGTATAAATTTTCGTTGTGCAGAAGTTCTCCAGTCTCGCTTCTACGCAACGATAGCAATAAATTGGCGACGATGGAGACTTCAATAATCTGTCTAACGGGAAGAAAATGGACAAAGAAGCTGCAAAATAGCACAGTAAAGCTATAAATACAGTAAAAGGAAGAAAATATTAATAGAGAAATTTCGTTTATTTTTGTTTAACTTTATTTCGTTGTAAAATTCATCGGACTTGGACTACGTTTGCATGAACGTAACTAGAAAGGCAAATACAAATCAGGTGTGTTTGGTTTATTAATATAAATAGCTAATATTGCTGAGAAGATAGATAGATAGTAACTAGAAAGAAAACAAGGAAAGTACTCCTATAGGCGCTTGGTTCGCTTGATTTTTCCATGACTATTTTTCTCTCTCCTCTTGTGTTTCTCGATCTGCATTAACGCAGCCTTATAGTACAAAGATTATAACTCAGTACTTAATATATAAATAAAATAAACGTTGTAACATATATTTAAAGGCTATAAAAATGTTCGCATTGTGATATTGAAAACAGTTGAATATAAATTAATTTTGTTTAATTCTGAAAAAATAAATAGAACTTGTCAGGAATATATCACTGATAGTGTATCATAAATATAAGCTATTAAAGAACTTTTGAAAGTATTTACATTTTAAAAATATATGCAAAGTGAAAAGCTCAAAACTTTCTAGAGAATAGCTGAAGACACTTAAGCAGCCCCCCCCAAGAACAAGGAAAAACAAATCTGGAGCTGAAACCAAGAATTTTTAAAGCTATATGGCTCCAGGCTCCGGTTCAAGCTCCAGAAAAAAATGGAAGCACCTATTCTAAAGCGTTGGCGTCCAACTCAACTATTTTGCGATAGTTGCATAATGCATTCAATAAGTTTTTCATCACGATTCTCTAAGACTAAATCTCTATTAACCCTAAGGTAGAAGAAGTAGCGTCTACAACAGTATAGGAAACATGAATACGTGAACAGACGATACTGGTCAAAAGTGTTATTAACGACCTCCAGTATGATGTCGAAAATATGTGGCGGTTGAGATCACAGAAAGCGTGACTGTTTCAGTGTGTCTATTTTTCTAACATTGGTGTTGGTAGCATTGCGTTTATAAGTACAAACATTAACAGTGACATGTATCAAGATATCTTGGAATACTTCATGTTACCATTAGCTGAAGATTGTTTGGAACAGAAGATTTTGTGTTCCAGCATCATATAGCGCTGACTCATTCTGCCAACTCATTGCACTGCACATCACAGTATTACCATAGCTAGGCGACTATTACTATCTTAATCCGAATGAAAACTTGTTGAATATTGCAAACATTCAACTTGCAAGATTGAGACCAACTACAGTCAATGATTAAATCAACAGCAACTTCCCAAATGACTAAAGGAGCTGCTTTTAGTGGCTTGATGAATGCATTCATTCAAGGTAAACAGTTTGAAAAACCATTGAAGTTCTCAAAGGTCAAGAATTTGGTTTAGAACTGACAAATTTCTTCTACAGTATACTTTACAATCTTTATACTGGTCTCCGTTCAATAGATAAAACAGTTCCATTTGAACTTCCTCCCAAGCCTCAGAGAAGAGGACGAAAAGAAGCATCCATTCCATCATAAGAGGAAAGAGGAACCAGAAAATATGTGAATTGAGATAAAGAAAGTTAATTTCAATATTTAAATATCAATAGTTAAATTGTATTTAAACTGTACAGTTCTTGTTTCAATAGTATGATGTGAAGACGAAGTTACATGGGCAAGAATATTCATCGCTCAATACCATAAGCTGATTTATTCCATATCATATTAAAACCATAATTATAATATACAGAGGACTAATGAAATATTGATAACTATCTGCACGATGATAATGTTTATCAATATTTATTAAAACGTAACCTATCATGATAGAACGCAATTAAAATGAAATTATTCCGTTATTTTGACAGAAGACAGTATCTTACGTTTTGGTCCGTGGGCTGAACAATTAAAATCTCAAATGGCGGAAAATGTTACTTGTAAAATAGCTTCGCTTGGTGCTTTAAGATAGCATATACTTGTTATGTATTTTAAATGTTTATTCAATTAATACTTGTTATGTATTTTAAATGTTTATTCAAATTCGAGTAGACATATCAGCGTGGAACATGATTTAGTCTTTCTTTTTTTTTAATCTGGTGTTTATATACATAGAATGAGAAAACGTAAAAGAATTTAATCTGTCGTAAATTTTCATACTTAAGTTAAGTTAAATGTAAAGTACTTATTGTTTATTGTTTTATTGATATAGTACATATAAAAGAATAAATATTTTTTAAAAAGAAATTAATATACTTGTAAGTGATAATTCTCGATTATTTATTATTTCAAATAACTAAATATTTTTTATAATACTGTATTTGCATATTTTTATTTTATTAAAGTCTTCATTCTGTTTTATATACGTAATTGCGATGCCCCTCAGACAATGGATGCCTCCTTTAACAATATAAAACAATTTCCATTAAAATAAACAGAATAAACATGTATAAACAATATATGGTATGTATAGTAATAAAGTACAGGTATTATAAAACCGCCGAATACATGTAATATACAAAGTAAAACTACGATAAGAAAATTAAATATAATAGAAAAAGATACGGAATGCGTTAAAAGTGTTAGTGAACAAAAATTACTATTATATATTTTAGTTCGTTTTTTTATAGATAAATTTAAAACTTAAAAGTCCAAGTACCAAAGATCCCCATTTCTATTGCTGCTTTTTATATCCATAAAAAAAGGAACAGTTTGAAATATCTAATCTACAAAAAGATTTGTCTACGTAAGGAAGTTGTAACTATAGGAACTCTTAGAAAGATATAGTGCGGTTAAAATAATAGATAAAGCCGTTAAAATATTTACAACTGTAGATGTGATCAAGATACGCTATTCGTTTGTAAAAATCTGGCAATTCAAGTCGAGTTTCAGTGGAGAATTCACTTGCAGGCAGACTTTTCAGCTTGTTTAATATAAACTAAATCTTAGGTAATTCTTTTTGAACATTTGAGAAAAAAAACAGCTGATTATTAAACAGGCGAAGAACACATAATTCACAATAGATTGAATATTAGCAAAGAAAAACAACCATAATACTATTTTGGAAGAGATCGATTTTAAATTTCTCCTGCGTATAGAATCGATATGTAAGTTGAATAAAATCTTTGAATTAAATATAACACTCAAATCTTCAATTTATGAGACTAATTCAATTTCTGGTTGTTAATGAACAAAATTTACATTACAGGAGTATTTAACGTTTCCAAATTTCATCATTTTTGCTTTTCTGACATTTATTGACAGATTTATCCGTCTATTATATAGTCATGTGTATATAGTCAAATCCAAAAGACTATTTTCAATTTAGACTAACAATTTCGACTATTCCGTAAGTATAAACGAATTTTGTCACAATCTGTAAAAGAAATTTATTGTAATAATAAAAATTATAATCAAAACATAATAAATCGAATCATGAGTTATTGAATTATCGGTATAATAGTTGTTATGCTGACTCTATGCACAATTTATGGACGTCATACTTTGACGTAATAAATTGGTAACATAATTGTATAGTAAGAATAATAACTAATCTTGACTTACATTTTGCGATATTCTTGAATTATATAATAAATATAATGATGTTTTTACAGAATTCGTCATGGACTCCTCTAAGCCAGGCTTGGAGCTGGCCTAGAATGGAGAAGGGTAGTAAACCAAGCGTGTTTATTCAGATTTCTAGCCTAAATATGTTGGTAAATTCTTCTGCATCCCTTAGGCGATGTGTATCAGTCTCGTTCGACTGGTATGAGAAATAAACTAGGGCAACAGTGAGCGTGCAGGTTAAAAAAAAAAGAGTTTTATTTATAATGAGAAACTGTATCATTGGGAGACTGATTAGTTACTTTAAATGTATGAACGTTAAATAGGAAATGTTGGGAATTATTAGGATGGCTATAGGAAGCTATATGGAAGGGCAATAAATCAAAGCACGGAGCTGTAGGAGAGGAGAAGGATATAAGTTAATACAGTAGAACGTCGTTTATCCGAATCAATTGGAGACTGGGTGGTTCGGATAACTTATTTTTCGGATAACGAATCATGTACGAAAAAATATATTAATTTATCCCATGTTGAAATTTCTCTCCGTTGCGCGTCGCTTCGCGTTGAATTTTCGTTGATGTTAAGCCTAACGAAGACTATTGTATCGTTAAAAATTAGTTTTTTTATTTTGTACAAACAAAATAAATTTATTGAAAAATATAAAAACAATAAAAAATTATACTTCAGATGTTAATTTACTATCAAAAACGTAAAATATTTGAGTAGCCCGAGAAATAGCCGAAGATTGCAGCGCCACAGCACTAGCGAAAATTTAAATTTGCTGACTGGAATGCTTTCGTATAACGGACGTTTCGGATAACCAGCTTTCGGATAAACGACGCTCTACTGTACTTATTATAGACGCTCTACTGTACTTATATTAGAGGAAGGAATAGAGTATATATATTATTAAACAGGAAATTTGAAAAGAATTTAATATCAGTAAATAGATAATTCATGTAAAGGTACGATGTTAGGGAATAAATAAAGATAATGGAGAGAATATGAAAGATTTCATGGAAGAGTAGGCTTTGAATATAGGAACAGAGCGGAAGAAATGATATTGGACTCGGCTTTATCAAACAACTTGACAATTGCAAATAATTATTTTCAAAAGAAAAGAAGAATACTTTGTAACATGTAAATGTAGTGTAGGCAAAACATGATAGATTTATTTTTAATAAGCAAAAAATACTTGGGAATGTGTAGGAGCTGAAAAGATATTCCAAATAAGATAGAAGTCAGCATACGTTAATTGTCTTGACTTAAGTGTAGATGGGTTCAATTAAAAAATATACAAAAAAAGAAAGTAATTAGTTGATAGAAATTAAAAGAGAAACGTGAAATGTTTAAAAAGGAGGTGAGGGAAGGGGTTAGATTGGAACTTTGTTGAGAAAGCATAGATAATTTGGATTGTGGTAAACTCAATGGTTAGGAAATATGCAAAAATTATTTTGGGTATCAAAAAACAGGAGGAAATATAATAAATAAGGAAACACGATAGTTGAATGAGAAAATTCAGCAGACAATTAGAAAGAAGAAACAGGCCTTTAGAAAGTTTGAGCTGGATAGAAAAGAAAGCAGTAAATTAAAACATAAAATATAAAAAAGAGTCAAGGAAGAAAGTAGAAATACAGTGGTACCTCAGGATACGAACGCCCCAGCATACGAAATTTTCAGGATACGACATGAAATTCGAACATATTTTTGCTCCACGATACGAACAAAATCTCACCATACGACGTCACATTTGTTCACAGCGCCATTTTTTATTCACTTCTGTTCATCGGTCTCAGTCCACGTGTTTGCTTCGTTGTGAAAGGATCTCGCTCGATAAAGGAAATCTTCAGGTATTATCAGAAAGTGACTGATTTTATTGAAAAGAAACATCCCGAAAAGGTTCACACTGAATGTATTGCTGCTCAGTTTAATGACATTTGCCTAAGTCATTTTAGAAACATTTTACAAAATAGGCAAAGCCAAACCTCTTTGGATAGATATTTTACCAAGCGACCTCTATTCAGTGAAAGTGCTGGTGGAAGTGAAGGAAAGAAAGCAAAAACAGTGAATAAAACTTAAATACAGTGGTACCTCAGGATACGAACGCCCCAGCATACGAAATTTTCAGGATACGACATGAAATTCGAACATATTTTTGCTCCACGATATGATCAAAAACTCACCATACGACGTTAAATTAGTTAGCAGCGCCATTTTTTATCCACTTCTGTTCATTGGTCTCAGTCCGCGTGTTTGCTTCGTCGTGGAAGGATCTCGCTCGATAAAGAAAATATTGAGGTATTATCAGAAAGTGACTTATTTTACTGAAAAGAAACACCCCGAAAAAATTCAAACTGGCCGTATTGCTGCTCGGAGTAATGACATTTGCCTAAGTCATTTTAGAAACATTTTAAAAAATAGGCAAAGCCAAACCTCTTTGGATAGATATTTTACCAAGCGACCTCTATCCAGTGAAAGTGCTGGTGGAAGTGAAGGAAAGAAAGCAAAAAGCAGTGAATAAAAATTTTAAAA